ATCCATTCGTTGTCTCTGTCATGTTCTGCATAAATATTCCTACATGCACTCAGGTGTTTTTGCATCCTAATAAATGCCAATCAATAAGTCATGTAAGTAAATTGGTTGTATAATTATGCAGGTTTGTGTGATGCAGTCAGTAGCATGTGATGTCACCTGATGATTATCACTCTCCTAACAAAGTCAATCGAGATCAAACATTTTCCACTGAAACTGGTTTTTGACATAAAATTAGGTTTTTGATTAAATGAAAAATGTCTCTTCTCAGCAGATAATTTTGAGTTTCTGTCAAAAAATTGAACAACCCCCAAATCCCCAGCCAAACAAAAATTGATTAGGAATATTGCCATTGTGCCTGTGGGGGTGGTTGTTTGGCTGCTTCATGCCGCCATTCTCCTCTATGGCCTAGGTTCACCAGTCAGATGACCTCTCCCATGATACTTTGCAGCCAGCGACTTCCATGATGTACTGCAAGTGCTCAGTACGAAGAGAGAACATGGCACATGATGGGAATTATAGTTCAGCCAGAGAGACCAGCCCATAGAGGAAAATGGAGTATGGAGCCCCCAAACTACAACTCCCAGCATTTGGCAGCATTTCTGAAAGTTTTCAAATATAAGGTTTTGATTTTTTCACCAAAAGTTTGAAATTTTAAGCAGAAAAAACCCATTTCAGGAAACAGGGTTTACAACATGTTGAGTTCATGAGTTCATGTTGCGCGGTCCCTTTTGAGCGGGGCGAGACTCGCTAGCCCCCGCTGACAGCCTCGTTCTAGGTCACTGACCGCCGGGCCCTGTCATGACCGTGGCCTGTCACAACGCCCAGGAGGTGGGGACAGGCGCACGGGAGGACCAGAAAGCTGGTGCAAAGAACAGGTGTGAGCTAGGGAAGGCCTCCAGCATCTTTGGCCCATCCCCAAGCATCAGGTGATGAGATATAAGGAATCTGGTGCACTGTGGATTGGCTTCATCCACTATATCTGGTCACCTAGCTAGTCTGTTCTTTTGGTGCAGAACTAGCAGGAGTTCCTAACCCATGTAGAGAATTCTTAGTAAAGAAGGTCTTTGAGGGATAGTCCAGAAGTGACAGATGCAGGAAAGACAACAAGCACCCCATAAAAATACAGAGGGTTGTGGGATGGAGGCAGTTCTATTTAAAGATGCATTTGTTGTGGCCTTTGGTGCTTTTAGGGTTAGTGAGCTGGTGCCATAGGCAGCAGGGGACAGGTCCAAGCATGCATTAGAAATAACTGATGTAAGGTTTACACAAAGAGCATTTTGTTTGCATTTGAGGTATTTGAAAACAAACAGGAAAAGCAGCCTTGGTGCTGCTAAAAGAACACTTGGATGACTATCATACAATCATGGATGATTAGGGTTGGAAGAGACTTCAGGAGGTCATCTAGTCCAACCCCCAACAGATGACTATCTGTGCCATATGAATGCAGTCAAAGCCTTTCTAGACATATGGAAAGGTGAGCCTGGCCCACTATTTGTATATAGGTATGACAGCTACCTGACCAGATATCAGTTTGCTGCTGTAATGGAGAAGGTATTATTGGCCTTAGTTCTTCATTTTGGTACATTTTCCTTCAGTGTTAGTGCAGTGACATCCACAGCATCAGAGGATTCTGATTCCCAGAAAGTTCAGGCAATAGGGTGCTAGAAACCAAACTGTTACAAGGCTTATGTTTGTCCCTATGGAAGTGTTGCTGGGGTCCCTTCTTTGTGATTGCAGGAGACATCCCAAACAAGCCTGACTCTCCATAATTGCAACACGCTGTAGCGCATTGGGCCCAAAGGAGGGTGGCCAGGTTAGCAAGTTGATCACAGCTAAGCTACAGGGCTGACAACGTCTGCATTCATTAGTTCAGCAAGAGAGATGGGGGAAGGGGCAGGGCACATGAGGGTGAGAGGATTCAGAAATGAGTTGGAGTAGGCTGAGAGAGATAGGTTATATAGTGGGAGCTCTGTAATCCCACTTTGAACCCACTTAAATGCCTGGTACATGAGAGGTGGGGAATGAGGGCAGATGATACTGCAGAGAGGCATTACATTAATAAAACTGCAGCCTGCCACTTAAATCCATCCCTGTGTCTCTCTTCGTATATTTGCATGTCCTGATCACTAACTTATAGTAAGCTTCCACACAACATGTCTCTTTATTCTAGCTGAGAAATTTCAGGTCTGGCCCCTCCTACTTAATAAAAATCTAACCTTTTTAAAGAGAAAAACTTGTAGTCAGAGATGTAACAGATATTCAGAGAAAGGGAAAGTGGGGGTATGTCCTGTGTCCCACCTAATAAACATTTATCACTATACAGAGGCCAAAGTTCATAAACTTTCTTACTGAAGGAGACTGGTTGGGAGTTAATAGAGCTGAATGATCCCTTTTAAGAGAAGAGTATCTGGAATAAGGCACCTCTAGGACAGCTATTGGTTCAAAAGTAATCGGGGTGAAAAAGGCATTCATCTGGAAAGTCTTACCAATAATGTGCCTGACAGATACCCCTTGGCATTTAAACATAGGGGACTAGCCTCAACAACAACCTATGATGGGGAGAAGGGGGAAGCTGAGCTATTGTGCAGAGGCCCCTGTGCTTCTGAAATTTTATGACCATTCAACACTATTTAACTCCCACTGTCTTCAGCCTTTACTCAGCATCTCCCAGGGCTTTCTGAATCTTTGCCTAGAGATATAGGTAGGACACGATCTATTTTATTTTGTATGTAGGAAATAAACTAAACCTTTAATTAGAGCAGATTATCTAAAATTACTTATGCAGCTGAACTAGATTACATTTTAGTTTTATAAACTTGTGAATATAATGTTGAAGCAATTAAAAATTAAAAGGAGGGTAAAATATATGCTATAGGCTCATGAAAGCATAGAGGCCTCTCACATTGAAAACATCAGAACTGCAAATAATCTCTGCATGCCCATATCATTTAAAATATAGGCATGGCCAGGCTAGGCAAGAGGGAAACCAAATAGGCTGCAAGGGAGAGAAGACGACTCACCACACAGTTACATAAGATTCTCCAAAACCATAAAGGAGTTCTGAATAAAAGACTTTTGGGTTTATAGGCTCTGAGATTTGTGTTCCATGTAATTTAAGTAGAACTTTTCTCATAGAAATTTCTCCAATGATGTGCGAGTCTAGCTATGTTTCAATAGACTGGATCAAACAGAACTGTCTAATTCAGGGGTAGGCAAACTTTTTGGCTCGAGGGCCACATCTGGGTATGGAAATTGTATGGCAGACTATGAGTGTTCATGAAATTGGGGGTTGGGGTGTGGGAGGGGGTGAGGGCTCCGGCTGGGGGTGAAGGAGGGTGTTCCAGGCTGGGACCGAAGTGTTTGGAGGCAGGAGGGGAATCAGGGCTGGGGCATGGGAGGGGATCAGGGGTGCAGGCTCCAGGTGGAACTTACCTCCTACGCAGAGGCACAGCCTGGCAGCTCTGCGTGCTGACCTGTCCGCAGGCGCCGCCCCTGTAGCTCCCGGCCAACGAGAGCTGCGAGGGCAGCGCTTGGGGCAGGGTCAGTGCGCAGAGCCCCCTGGTTGCCCCATGCATAGGAGCTGGAGAGGGGACATGCTGCTGCTTCCAGGAGCCGCACGGAGCGGGTCAAGCCCCCGACCCTGCCTGGAGCGCCAGAGTGGGGCAAGCCCTAGACCCCGCTCCCCGGCGGGAGCTCAAGGGCCAGATTAAAACGTCTGGAGGGCCGGATGGGGCCCCTGGGCTATAGTTTGCCCACCCCTGGTCTAATCTCAAATTCAGAAGCTTGATAGGCAGCTAGCAAAAATGGCAGTTTGCATCTTAGAAAAAATGACAAGACAGATAAGAAAGGGATGTGTCATTTCGACTGGATGTCTGGCACTGGTTAGGTAAGTGGCAAGCTGCAAGTTCTCTGCTACTCAATTTTGTTCATTATATTGTTACTTCAGCTTCCCAACTCATTTCTACTTCAGATAGAAGTCTGTGTCCTGTCTGACAAGTAGACTGTGAGCTCTCTGTGATAGGGACTGTTCTATTAATTGTTTGTACAACGCTTATAGGGCTCCTAGTCACTAGCATAATTCAAATAAATAGTGATTGGTGGTTTAAAAATACTCAAAATAGGAAAAAATATGGCTCCTCCAAAAAAGTAACCTAGATATTCTGAAGAACTAAAACACACAAAAATCTATTATGAGAGAAAGAACTGACAGGAAGGGGATTGCAATGCATGACAGTTTGTTAGCAAGAGTCAGGCTAACTGTAACCCTAATAACGCGAGATTTGTAGAAGCGAGGATTGTGTGAGGCGAGTGGGAAAGAACTGTGTGAGAAGTTGTTACGACCTTGTGTAAATAATGTGTAGATAATATGGTAGACTAGAGTCTAAATAAATGAGAATAAGAAGATATCAGGATGACCTATGTATAAACAAAATGCAGCTGTTGCTTATTATTGTCTGTAACAAAAGGTATAAATGTTTGCTGTAATTGTTTACCTGTAGAGAGACCTGCCTAGGAGGGGGAGGCCCTGTGTCCTAGTGCACTCTCTCCCTCTACGCAAATGCTTGAGAAAATGAAGTATCTGACTTTGCTGTACCCAACCAAAGAGTGAGAACTCTGTTATTCTCCGACACTTCTAATTTCTCAGTTGGAAAAAGGAAATAGTTAACTGGAAGCTGTGGAGGATATTCAACCATATTCAGAGCATTTCTGATGCCAGTCACTGGAGAGTAAAGTGATTCTAGTGAGGTAATCTATGCAATGATACTTGCCTCAAGAAAAATGTTATTCTGTTCCTATATTATCATCTCTGAAAATCTACAAACATTCCAAAAACAGTTTAAGATTTGAAACCTTATCTAATACAAATGTTGACTCTTACAATGAATCAATAACAGTCTGAACACAATGGGAACTATCTATTGATTTATTATTTTCAACAATGATTACTTCAACTATTACAAAAAAATAAAATTAAAAAAAAAAAAAAAGGTCTTTACCAACTAATGACTACTGAAAAGCCAGACCTTTCCAGCCCATTTCATATTCTCTTTCAGCCATTTCAGAGCAGAATTATGTTCCAAACTGTAAACCTGTTCCATATTAACATTCATTGTCATGTGCTTAAGAAAAAGCTTTGGATTAGATATACGAGCAGCTTGAATCAGTCTCTCAACTGCTGCTTGATAGTCATCTTTACTCCGCACTTTTTGTTCTTCAGATCTGCAAAAGAGTTTTCACAAGTACAAAAATCATTCATTGATGGTTTTCATTTATTGGCATCAAGATTACTAAAACAGTAAAAAAATCCTGGTGTTCATATTTCCTAATGCAAATATTGTAAACTGCTAGACACTGACAGCTGATTGAAGTTTCTGAACTAAGTTAGCACCTATCAGAAAAAGTAAAAAGTAACACATTTAAAAATACTGGTGCTTTCAGGCATTTAACATCTCAGTGACAAATGAGTCGCAAGCTTCCACAACAGCATACTCCATCAGGAGTTACTAGACTCCGGAGTGGAAGAATTAGAAACAAGCGGTAGAGCATCTTAGGCACTGACCTGGCAAGAACTTGGGCATACCTTTGACTATATTTACGGTACATAAAGTTAAAGGATGTGCTTAAGACCTTTCAGGACAGAGGCCTTATTTATTATTTAAACCTACAAGAGGAGTTACAGTAGTACAGACTTGAATCTGGCTATCTAGTTTGGGTTGTAAAGTTTTACACCACCAACTATAGTTTTTTAAAAAATGATTTGGTATGTCCCATGTCAGTAGCAGATTTTGTTCTACTTCTCAATAAATGGAGTTTCTGCTTAGGGGGCTCCAACAAGCTGGAAACTGGATTGCTCCTTTTCCTTCTGCCTCAGGTAGCACCACCTGTGAGCTGAGAAAAGACTGCCACTTTTTTGTCCTCAGCTAACAACCTGATCTCACTAACCAAGGACTGATCAAGAGTTCTATTATTTATCCAAGACAAACTGCAAAAAACAAACTACAAATACATATAAATAATGTAAGAATTTTAACAGAAAATCGTAGTTATAGAAAAGCGTTTAAGTCTTTAGCTCAATGCCAGAGGCAATAAATTTCTTAAAACATCCTCAGTGAAGGAGGATGAATCCTGGAAATAATCTGGTTGATATGGTTGGTGATTAATGGACAAAGATTGCCAGGGGAGGGCAGGAGGAAGAGCTCAGAAAAAAGTTATTCATTTTCTTGTAACAGTTGTTCTTCAAGACCTGTTGCATATGTCCATTGCATTAGGTGTGGACATGTCCCATGCACTGGTCCAAGAGAGTTTTCTCTAGCAGTACCTGTAGATGTAGCCATGCCTGCACCCTGATATTCATAATACCCTGAGCCACGTTATAAAGATCAGAGTCACCCTGCCCATCCTTCAGTTCCTTCACACTGGACTTTTAGATGATAGACTCTGATACACTGGGGAAGGAAGATGGATCATGCAATGGACATGTGTAACATCTCAAAGACCAACAATTACCCAAGCACTGTCCAATAGAGGTGGGGCTAGGAGTCTTATGGGAAGAGAGATTGCAGAACTGCTTTCCCCACATTCACATCTTCCATTGATGTGGTAGTCATTGCATAACATCTAGAAAAGGTGTAGATGGTAGGTTGCTGTTCTGCATATGTCCACAACAGGCCTAAGCATGAAAACAGATGGACCATTTGATGGACACTTCTTTTTATGTGCTGATGAGAGTGACCTCACCCCTTCCAGTCCAGGTACAGATATACTTGTACATCTCAATGGCAGAGATAGGCTGCTACCACCACCATGTATTTGGTGAAAACATTCAGCGTGGCTGACAGGCCAAATGATAGAACTGCAAACCGGAGGTGGTGTTCTTCTATGAACGTTAGAAATGTCCTGGGTCCAGGGTGGATTGGCACATGGAAATAAGCATCCCTCAACGATCTAGTGAAGGGATAATAGTTGTGAGGGAAACCATATGGAAGAGTACTGAGTAGGCACTTCTTCTGTGCTCTCAAAGAATGTAGAGTCTGCACTTCCTTGCTTTAGTAGACTCATGAGGTGGATCCCTGAAGGGAGACAAGAACTGCAGAGTATATCCTGATGCCACCATGCTTAGCACCTAGTTGTCTGAAGTGATGAACTACCACGCACTTAGGAAACGTGACAAATGAGGGATGACAGAGTTTGGCATAAGGCTTTCATAGGCTACATAATTACCTCATTTATAGGGAAAGCAACCTTCCATGATGTAGCTGGGTGTAAAATGTCTGAGTTTGTGGGGATTTTCCTCTACAACCTTTATTTGTATCCCTACAAATGTAGGGATGTAGCCATCCTTTTTAGGAGCTCTTGGGAGGATTTAAAATCATCTTGTACAAGAAAAGATTACTCCAGTTTTAGGGCCTCCGACAGTGAAATGGACAAGATGTTCAGAAGAGTCGTCTCTGAAGCAGGCAACAGGCAGTGCTGATCCTTGGTGCCTTGCAGAAGCTTGATACCAACATCAAGCTGTCTATCGGTACCACATGCAGAAATGTTCTCCCCCGGGGACATGTGTTTCCATAGTGTGGTGGTTGCCCAGCACCAACTTTGAATGGTCTTTTGGTACCAGGTGAGGAGACTTCTCTGCTTGGGAACCTAGTTCTGTAGTGCAGTGGAGAAAATGATCTAGATGCCAGAGGCATTCCTCACAGTACCCAGTAGGGCCAATGATGGAGTTGGTATGGTACTGGATGCCAGTCGCATCTAGACCAAGCACTCCATTCTCTTGATCTGTTCTTGTCAGGATGACTCCTATGTTGTTACTATTGTTACTATGACGGGGCGATGTTCCCTGAAGGAAGCCCTGGATTCTCTGAAGTGGTAGATGTAGAAACCCACTTCAGACTCTGAGGAATAGTCCGAAGGCCAGGATGGAGCAGTACCAGGTGTTTTCATGGGAGATTGGGACAGTGCTCTATGAGGGATCTGCAGTACCAGAAGCAACAACAGGGACTTCCTAGCTATCAGAGCAGATCAGTTACTGTTTGTCTCAGAGTTAGCATCGAGATTGCTTGAAGTGGTAGAGGACCTGAAGTCACTGATGCTGTAGCAGATCCCAGTAATGTGGATTCCCATGTGCAATAGGCTTGGCAAGGCACTGTCAGTCTGAATAATCAATGAGAGGAGTTCCAAGAGGCTCAGCAGATCCTTCCCAGCTGCATGTGTCTCTGTGGTGGTCAGCGCCAAAATAGACTTTTGCCCAATTGTGAGCAGAAGTGATGGCTCCAGAGTCTTCAACGAGGAAGGAGTTGGCCTTGACGGTCCCAGCACAGCAAGTGGAGTCAACAGCTCTGGTCTGGTCAAGCTGCTACTAGGATTCAGTACTGGGAAGCAGTAGGCCAAAGGGTGCACTCCACCTTTCGTACCGAAGTGGCTTGCCTCTACAGTTGAGAAGTCAAACACTGAGGACTTAAAGGATGTGGAAGTTGTCCGCTTCTTTGGCTTCAGAAGCTGAGGGTGCTCTAAGTGCTTGTGCCCTTCTAGGACTATCCCAGCAAAGGGGATCCCCCTTTGTCTCTATCCCCAGGTAAGACATGGGGAGCACTCCCGGATGGAACTCCCTCTAGTTGACTGAGATGGTACGGATGGCAGATGAAGAGCAGCGTCCATGAGAATGTACCAGAGGTGCTGTTCTCTCTGCTTCTTAGTTCTTGTTTTGAAGCCCCAGCAAACTGTACACCTGTCCCTGATGTGACCCTCACCCAAGCACTTCAGGCAGTGAGAGTGAGGGTTGCTCATGGGCATGTTGTAACACCTGAAGCAGGGTTTGAAGCCAGGGTACCTTGGCATAGGTTCCCTTGGTACTGTGTGGAGCCTGGCATCCACCTACCATGGACAATCAGGAAAAGAAAAAAAACAAAACAAAAAGAGCTCCAAGGACCCCAAAATGAGTTTCACTAACAATATCAACTAACTAAAAATGGCATGTTTGCTGAAGGAACGAACAGACAGCATGCTACGGCCACCAACCATGGACTGTAAGAAGGAACTGAAGGATGGGTGGGAGTGGCTTCGCCCTTTATACCCTTAGCTTGGTGCATGAGTAACACCAGGATACAAAGGTGGCCACCTCTGTGGGTACAATTAGGGAAAATTCTCTGGCACCAGCACACAAAATGTGCACATACCTAGTATAATTGACATACGCAATTACTTGAAAAAGAAACAAAGATTACCTCAAGATTACTGGTCTTGGGAACAAAGTGAAGGTCTAAGTTAGCAAGAGTGGCAGTGGAGTCAGAGACAGAGGGGACAACTTTAGTTTTAACTAAGGAAGCAGAAGAATTGAGGAGAGGATATCATCTGTTTACAAGGGCTCTCCAAAGCTGTAACTAATGAAACATTCCACACAGAGGCGGCCAAGGACAGAGGGTTGGGATATTCTGTAATAGAACAGAAAAGGTGTTTCTTTGAGGAGTGTTAGTATGTTTTCTGATTCAACCATACCTTTCTATATGCTTAACTAGATGACAATATTTTATACAATAACATATCACGCAATCCTATTCTTTTTGATAATATGGTGCATTGTTACTATGTTGGACATGGTGTGGGGTATCTGGTCTCCCTACTTGAATCTGAAATCACTATTTTTGTTTTGTTTTGTTTTTCTAAAGTTCTTGATGTACATATTTACTGCCCTCTGTAACCAGAATAAAAAAAATGTTAATTTTTCTTAAAAAGGATTTTCTTTCTCAAGCACAACAGTGAATTAAATGCATGAGCAAACTTTTTCTCTTCCAGATATTATATCATCATACACTGAGAAACAGACATAAGAAAAGTACTAAAAATTGACCAACTAACCTTTTCAGTACTATCTGAAGTGTCTGATTGGTGGCACCCGGACTCTGAATATTACTAGCATTTGAAACTAGGAATATTTCAATGGCCAGCAACATCTCAATCTCAGACATGTAAGAAGGAATCAGTAAAAGTTTGCGGTATAAATTTCCCTCTAGCGGTGGGTAGCAACCCAATGATAAAGCACCTGACAGTGGAAGCATAAATGCAAAAGTTAGGTTGTTACCATTGAACTACTACCTATTTTGAATGTGTGTGTAGCTTGAGATGTGGGGAAAAGAAAAAAAACCCCTAAGTATCTGAACAGACTTTTTGTCTACAATGATGGCCACCATAGGTGCTGACTCCATGGGTGCTCAGGGCTGGAGCAACCAAGGGGAAAAATTAATGGGTGCTCTGCACCCACTGGCAGCCAAGCTCCCCTGATCCCCCCGCCCCACCTCCTCCTCCTCCCCTGAGTGTGCCGCGTCCCCGCTCCTTCACCTACCTCCCAGCGATTCCCACTGTTTGGCAGCATTAGCACGCTCTGGGAGGGGGAGGAGTGGGAACGTGGCACGCTCAGGGGAGGAGGCGGGGAAGAGGTGGGGCCGGGGCGGGGATTTGGGGAAGGGGTTGGAATGGGGGGGGGTCGAGCACCCACAGGAAAGAGGGGAAGTCGGCATCTATGATGGTCACTGAGGTCTTTACTTTTTCAAGGCACTAAACTTTGAAGAAAGTAATTTCACACAGGAGTTTAGTTCATTTTCTTCCCCAACACAGATTTTTAATGCAAAATCCTGACCCCATTTGCACTTGGTATGCTTACCTATAAATAAATTATGCCTGTGGAATTAATCTGCTTTCCCCCAAAATACCATGGATTCAGCATTTGTCACAGAATTCGCCACATACACAGCATTTTGTTTTGTTTCCCTGCTCTATGCAGATCAATTTGCAGTTGCCTCCAGCTTACTTGCTTCCCCACAAAAAGGATTTAATTGGATTACAGTGCACATTCCCTTCACTTTTTTGTGGAGCTAGGCAAATGGAAGATCAGATTCTCGTGGGGGAATTCTGTGCCACTGCACAACGCAGAATTTTTCAGAAATTAATGTGTTTTGAGCAGATGGGCTGTAGTGCTGCCCCTAGGGGCCACTGGACCCAGCAGAGCCCAGCTCAAACATAGAAAACACTGTGGGGAGGGGGAGAGAATAGAGAATTCCTAGCAGATTCAGTTCCCCATACACCCTGAGGGAAGGAGACAGCAGTGTGCAGGAAACGCCACACAAACTGGGGACTGAGCATCAGGCTGTTTTTCCCTCTGGATCCCTGGGCTTTGGGGTGTGGGTGTCTGGGCTGGGGGGGAATGGCTGGGCTATGTGAGGGAGAGGTGTGGGTGTTTCTGTGTGTATCTGTATTGTTACAGACATACTTGCTGACAGGTAAATTACCAAAATAATTGAAACTGGCATGATTATGTAGTGTTATTTTGACAAATAAAATTTGCAGAATTTTGAAATGTTGTGTGAAGAATTTTTAATTTTTTGGTGCAGAATTTTTTTTTTTGGGGCATAGAATTTCCCCAGGAGTAATCAGAGAGCTAGAGCCTAGATTTCAGCTAGCGAGTGGGGAGAGGCAGAAGGCAGCAGGTTTAAAACAAATAAAAGGAAGTTCTTCTTCACGCAGCGCACTGTCAACTTGTGGAACTCCTTACCTGAGGAGGTTGTGAAGGCTAGGACTATAACAGAGTTTAAAAGAGAACTGGATAAATTCATGGAGGTTAAGTCCATTAATGGCTATTAGCCAGGACGGGTAAGGAATGGTGTCCCTAGCCTCTGTCTGTCAGAGGGTGGAGATGGATGGCAGGAGAGAGATCACTTGATCATTGCCTGTTAGGTCCACTCCCTCTGGGGCACCTGGCATTGGCCACTGTTGGTAGACAGGATACTGGGCTAGATGGACATTTGGTCTGACCCGGTACGGCCTTTCTTATGTTCTTATGTTTATGTATGTTAAACTCCTTGTCATATATTGTTTTTAGTGTCACATTTATGAAAGTTATGGGGGGGGGTCAAAGCTAAAGTTGGGTGCCGAGGCATAATTTTCATGGGTGATAGAAATGAAGAGGGAATATGAGGCATAAGTAAAATGGATGCATCCTTTAAATGTTAATTTTCAGAGCTTTATATTTGTGATATTTTGTATTGAAATAGAATTATTTTATGAAAATATATTTTCAGGGTGTTAGGTAGACTCCATTGATTCACATTTTCAATCTTAACTGTTTTCTATTGAAGTTTTTCTTTACAATAAAATAATGCTCAACAAAGAAGCAGACAGGATTATTTTCTTCTCTCCACCAAAGATGAGGCTGATAGTTCCATGATGTACTCTGCCAGACTGATGTCTTTTAACTCTGTATAGATTGAACTGTATAAACTTCTGATTTTACATATAAACATTCTATATTAGGGAAAAATGTAAACACCTTTACTCTATTTAATTTTCTGAAGTCTCAGGGTTAGCTCCTGGCTCCTCTTCTACACCACCACCTCCAAGTAGGCAGGAAGCTATTCTATCTGCCTGGTTAGTAATTCCCCAGGTAAAGAGGAATTCCCAGCTGAATGTGTGCTCCACGCCACATCCTCTGGCCTTGGTATAGGTTTGTGGCTGGAGTACTGGTGTGCTCTGGTGATCCCTGAGTGTCAGCATGGCCCCCTAGAGGCTGTTGTAGCCTGTGCCACTTAGAACTGCCGTGAGGCTACTTTAAGTTTCTCTCTGTGCCTGTCCTGTACCTCAGAGCCACATTTGGGGACCTATACCCAGCCCAACACCAGGCATAGAAAAGTTGTCTATGGGGTCTGGCCCTCAGTTTAGTGTGCTAAATGTCTAATATTACTTTTCTAATTGATTTACTACAAAAATGTATTTGATTTCCAGTAGTATTCTTACCCATTACTTCCCAAAATATTAAGTTCTTATGAGTATAGCTTATTCAAGAATCATAAGCAGTGAATAAGATTTCAAGGGAAACTTACTTTTGTAATAGATCCTGGCTTTAAGCCACAAACAGCTCCTTCCCAATGCTGTAATTAATCCTCTAATTAAAGTAAAATCAATGGGGATGTTCTTTGACAGCATAAAGTCGGTTACAGAAGAAGATATACCAAGGCCCTTGCTCTCAATACAGGCATCTAGAAGTTTGTTAAAAAGAAGGCTGTACTGGGAAACATCTACAGTGTCTGAAATGAAAAGAATGTTAATTATGGAAATCAGTCAAAAGCAATCTTAATTGCTGGATATCTTCCCAGTACTTCCTATAAAAATAGCAAAAGTTCAATCTCTTCAACCTTAAATCAGAGCAGTTAGTTTCAGAAAAAAAAATGGTGAAATTTAGAGTTAAATGCCTTATGATAATGATGCACTTGCCTCCCTGTTGGAAGGTCTCTTTGTGCAGATCCCAATGACACACATTCTGTTTACATTGGTTTAAAAAAGTGTTAATAGATCAAGTGATAATTAGTTTCAGTTTAAAATAATTTAATGCTGAAAGCAAAAAATAAAATAAAATAAAATAAAAAAGCCTTTAAGATGACACTGAATTCTGATGGTGTATTGAAAACTGATTCCTAAATACCATGTTATGTTAACATGCATGGAAATAACATTTCCACACTGAGCAATAATGCTATAATTCGCAACACTAACTGTCTTTTCAGAGCTATAAAATAATATTAAGGTCTGGAGAAAGGGTGTTTGAATCCTGTTGAGCAGTACAGGATCCCTACATCAGTCTTATCCTTCAGCAGAGACTTGAAGTACTGGGGGCTCTCCATGGGGTTCAAGAAAGGAAGAAGCAACTGGCAAAAGGCTTTGAGCACCAGCAGTAATAGAGGAAGAACTCTCCACAACTTCCTATGCCTTCCGGGCTTCAAATGAAGAAACCCCTGTTGTGCTTCTTGGACAGCATTAGGACCTGGTGGAAAGACTAGGGAAGGAATTATTCATCCAAAGGACTCTGCTCCTCCCCATTTCAGCCCAATATGCCTTGTTGGGCTCTTCAGCCTCCCAACCAGGATGGATAAAAAACAGTGATTTAAAAAAAATAAAATAAAAAAAACTGGATTTTTTTGATAAAATGCTTTTTGAGGGAAAAAACCTATCTAAAGATAGTTTTAATTAAGATATCTTTGAGCTATAATGTATCACGGAATAGGGACTACAAATTCTAATTCTATAATATGAGACAATATATTCGTGTAATGTTTAAGAAAAGTTTTGTAAATGAGTTCCAATAGTTCATGGATTAGGGACCCAATCTTATGGGGTTCCAGGGGCTTCTGTATAGATTATTTAACTGGTTAAGCAGCAGTTCTTCAGAAAAGGAACAGGGGATTACAGTGGATGAGAAGCTGGATATGAGTCAGCAGTGTGCCCTTGTTGCCAAGAAGGCTAACGGCATACTAGGCTGCATTAGTAAGAGCACTGCCAGCAGATCGAGGGATGTGATGATCCCCCTCTATTCGGCACTGGTGAGGCCACATCTGGAGTATTGCATCCAGTTTTGGGCCCCCCACTACAGAAAGGATGTGGACAAATTGGAGATAGTCCAGCGGAAGGCAACAGAAATGAGCAGGGGGCTGGGGCACATGACTTACGAGGAGAGGCTGAGGGAACTGGGCTTGTTTAGTCTGCAGAAGAGAAGAGTGAGGGGGAATTTGATAGCAGACTTCAACTACCTGAAGGGAAGTTCCAAAGAGGATGGAGCTCGGCTGTTCTCATTGGTGGCAGATGACAGAACAGGGACCAATGGTCTCAAATTGCAGTGGGGGAGGTCTAGGTTGGATATTATGAAACACTATTTCAATAGGAGGGTGGTGAAGCACTGGAATGGGTTACCTAGGGAGGTGGTGGAATCTTCATCCTTAGAGGTTTTCAAGGCCCGGCTTGACAAAGCCCTGGCTGAGATGATTTAGTTGGTGTTGGTCCTGCTTTGAGCAGGGGGTTGGACTAGATGACCTCCTGAGGTCTCTTCCAACCCTAATCTTCTATGATTCTATGATTCAGGAAATATATGTTTGCCGATGATGTTTTAAAGAAAGTTACACCAGTGAACTGGTGGAAGTCACTTAAGCACTTGGATTCAGAGACTGTTGCAGTGATAATCTCACTTTTAACAGCAATAGCTTCTTCTGCCGGTGTAGAAAGAATATTTTCTTCCTTTGGAAGAATTCATTCCAAATTGAGAAAATGTTTGGGACCTGAAAAAGCAAGAAAGCTCCCCCCCCCCCGAAGATTATGAACCAACAGGAAAATGAAGGTGAAGACGACTGAGTTAGTTGCAGAAGTCAATATTTTAAGTTTAAGTTTCTTTTGTTGACCTAGCTGACATAGTCGATTTAATTTTTGCTGTTTTTTAAAAAATATTTCATTTAACTATTTTAGTTAAACACAATTTTAACAAAAACAAACCTAATTTTAAAAAACTTGAATGTTGAACTAAATTCAAAAATTCATATGCTTGTTTTGTTAAAATATTATGTTTGCTATTGAAGAAAAAAATCCAGAATACATGACGTCGTCGTTTTAGTTAAATAAAACAATTTAAATAACTAACTGTCTGGTGATGTTCTCCTCCTAATACAGCATGGCAAGAAAATCCTCTAAATATTAATGATTAACCTGTTGAATTGGAGATAGTTCACCTCCCAATGACTTCATAAATAGCTGCTTCAATTAACCTTTGGTAAGTGAAATAACCAAACAATCATTCATTTTCTGATATAGCTGTAAAACTAATCTGAAAAGTTTTCAAAATAAATCACTTTAAGAATGTATAGTGTGTACCTTCTAAAAATGAAACCTACATCTATCTCTGAGTTGTGAAGAATATGTATTAAGGTTATAACCACCAACAAGAATGCACTTTTATGTAGAAATCCATGATTAAATCAAGTCTTCCTGACTAGTGATTTAAATCAAATCCACCCTGCTCCCAACAATCATAGTTAGAATGGCCAGCCTAGGTGGGGAGGGTGTTGAAAGATCAGGTAAAGGTAGGAGACTTCATTCCCCAGGTCACTGAATGGGGCTCAAAAAGCAGTAGGATAATGACAGGGAAGATGATGTAGGATTTCTTAATTCCAGTCTATCAGGGATAGAGAATAGGAGAAGACAGATAGGGAATGAAAATCCCTTCTTTACACCCCTTTACACTGCCTCCTATTGCTCCCCAGTACATGTGGGTGTGCTGAGAAATGAAGATTCCCTTCCTCACTCCCCCCAACAATCACTAATAGGCTGTTCAGCTCCTTGGTGGATGCCATAGCTCTTTGAGGCTTGTAAATCTAAACAGGCCTGTCAGCTGAATAAGCTCTGATGTGATGAGGTGAAAGTGGGAGGGGGACTGGGAAATGAACACCTTTCCCTAGATGCTATTCAAGGAGTAATCGAGCAGTAGATCTTCATCCCCTACTTCGGGATCAGCTGGGTACAGGAAGGCCAAGGGAACAGGATGACAGGGGGAGTGGGGAAGGGAGTTTTCAGGATGCAGTGGGTCTGGAAGAGCTGTAGGTAGTGATAATAGGATGGTTACTAATGTGATATCTATCCATCTTAGAATGTCCCTATTCCATTCCACTTAATAGACTGCCTAAAATCTTTACGAGATATACAGGAATGGTGCTCCATTTTCATGGACCTCAGGGAACTGGGACTGGCTAAGAATATGGGGGAAGTAGGGGATGGATATGGTAACCCAACTTGCAGTTATTTTTGTTTGGATTATAGATTTAAGTATAGTCATCTATATTATTTTTTTGAATTGTCATGTTTCCTCTGAAGAAATAAGAGTTCTAAATCTGCACTGCTCTGCAACACATCTTAAAAAACTGAATCAGAAAATCAGATAGGATAGAAACCATGTTTAGTAGTACCAGATTCTCATCTTTTAATTTGTTGGCTCTTAACACTAACTTTTCTTACTTACCACAACAATTTTGGAAACCTGGTAGATTCTGCAAAACTCCAAATGCTTGTCTATATAGATTCTCGGTCAAACATTCACATGCAATTGCACACAGCAGGTTGTGTCGATTGAGGACATCCATTCTATCGCAGGGCCACAATGGTGTATTTATTATCCATTCTGACTCTGAAGTGAAAACAATAGAATTGTTTTGAACTAAAAATGGGAATAATAAATAGGCTATGAAACCCGAACTGAATACTGACATGGAAGAGGAGTTTCAAAACTTCACAGAAAAATGCATAATTTAAATTACCAAGTTTTTGTTAAAAACAAATAACAGTTTCTCACAAATTTGATTCTTAGAAGCTTTATTCCTTTAATCTAGGGTAAAAACACATTAAATTTCATGCTAATGAAATTGGATCTTTTTCAATAGCTTGCTTCTTTTAAAGAGAGTCATAACACTCTTCTATCAAGAATGATGTGAAATACCAAATTTTGGATCCCCACTTTCTCTCTTTATTGCCTCACCACCTCCCTTGTTCTCTCTGACTTCTGTGCATTCTCTTTTTTTTCAGGCTCAGGCCATATGCATGCCAAAAGTGCAATGATTACAGATTGTTTTATGGTAAAGTGTGAAATAGAGTACAATATTCCAATTTTAGTTAGCACTGTGCTTCTGGACCAGAACATGTCACTAATGTGGCTCTTGAAAACTTCTGGTGCTAAAGGTCAGTTGGTGTCCACTGGCTTAAAGGAGACAGTCTAACAGTCAAAGTACACCCCGGACAGACAGGTTATCTGTCTTTTTCCAATACAATAGCATGGATTTGGTTTTTTTATTAAAAAAACATATGCTAGTTTTTAACTGAGTTTAGTCTACTGTAAAAGATATTTCTGAAAATAATTCCCATTTTAATTAAGATTAAGCATAATATTTTTTATCTGATCAAGAATAGTATTGGCATTTAAGGCAGGTCACATTTCCTTTTAGCGCTTTCAATATTAGTGTATTTTCTATAATCTAATGTGTGGAACAGACTATAACCTTGAACTAAAATATTTCACAAAGAGAACGGTTTAAAAACAAGCAAGTTATGTTTTACCAGTATATTATATATGAGTTTAACTACAAAACTTGATTCTAATAAAAATAACATTACCTCTCAATACCCATGTTGCTCCATCCAGACTTCCACTTTTAAGGAAGATTTCTGCAGCAGCATTAACAATTTGGCATCTTGAGGCTAACCTTTCTGGACCAATAAGTCCTTTCAAGCTTGTGAAATGAATCTGCAGTTCATGTAGTTTATCCAAAACCTTCCTGCCCTAAAGCAAGAGGAAAAAAAAAAAAAAGGGCAAAAAGAAATAAAAAAAAAAAAAAATATTAAAAATAAGTAAAAAAAAAAAAAAGACAAAAAAAATAAAAAAAAACCTTCCTGCCCTAAAAAAAAAAAAAAAAAAAAAAAAGGTGCAAATGGATGTAGCAAATACATAATATTCAATAATTAAGCTAAGTGCAGCAATATTAGCCAACTGTTCAGATTCTATGACCAGGTTTATATTAAAAATAAAATCAATTTTAATATGTATTAAATACACCTCTATCCCGATATAATGCGGTCCTCGGGAGACAAAAAAATCTCACCGCGTTATAGGTGAGACCGCATTATATCGAACTTGCTTTGGCTCCCCCTGTTCCTTGACCACCCCCTCCAGAGACCCCTGTCCCTAATCACCCCCAGGACCCCACCCCCTACCCAATCCCCCTGCTCCCTTATCTACAAACCCCCGCCTCCTGACAGGCACTTACCGGCAGCGGCGGGAAGTGGAGCAACGTGGCCCCAGCCTGCTCCACTCTGCCACCTCCCAGCCACGGCGCTCCGCTTCCCGCCACCGGTGAGTGCAGGGAGGTTGGGGAAAGGATGCCCCCTGTACTCACTTGCGGCGGGAAGCGGAGCGCCGTGGCTGGGAGCTGGCGGAGTAGAGTGGGCTGGAGCCAGGCTGCTCCGCTTCCTGCCGCCAGTGAGTGCGGGGAGGTTGGGGAAAGGATGCCCTCCGCACTCACCAGCAGTGGGAAGCGGAGCGATGTGGCCCCAGCCCTCTGCTTTCCTTGCCCCAACCCCAGCCGTGTCGCTAGGGTGGGTGGGTGGGGGGTCAGGGAAAGGTCCCACACTCACCTGCGGCGGGAAGCAGAGCGGAGTGGAGAGGGCTGGGGCAGGGCTGCTCCGCTTCCGCCGCCGCCAGTGAGTGGTGGTGGGGGGGATCCCTTCTCCCAAGCCCCCTCCCCCGAGCAACACGGCTGGGGCCGGGGTGAGGGTAGCGGAGCGGGCTGCTCCTGGCCCCCCGCTAATCCCACAGGCCACTCTGGGACTGCGGGGCCCCCAAAATTGCCCCTCCACAGCTCCTGCCTCCTAAACCCAGGGGAAACCCCTGACCGCCTCCGAGACCCCCTGCCCCTTATCCAGCCCCTCGGCCCCGGCCCGGGCCCCTTAACATGCTGCCCAGAGCGGCGTGTCAGAGCTTTACCGCGTTGCATGCGAACCCGTGTTATATCGGGTCGCATTATATCCGGGTAGAGGTGTATGTATGTTTTAGTAAGTTTATATGCAATATATATTAATTTTAAAACACAGAACTTCTCATCTTTTCAAATTGTTTAATTGATAATCTTAGCGATAGTATGAATTGTGATTCTACTCTAAAAAGTGACTATGCAAAAAACATACCTCTTCTTGATTGTATCTGTTACACTTCTTGTAATTCAGTCATATTTGCTTACTTGATCCAACTAAAATAAGTTTTTACTGCTTTTTACTACAGGTAGCACTACAAACTGGATTTTGTTCCTTTTTGTATATCAACAGAACTATTTACTAAGGTGTATCAATTGCTTCTGTGCAAACCTGCTAAAGAGTTGAATTGCACAGTAGTCATTCTGGGCATAATTTGGCCTGCAGAATCTTTATTTAAGGTGGTGATGTGCAAAGAGATAACCCAGCTTGATTCTTGCATCCCTGCTGAGTTTGCAGAGCTTGAAGTTAGGAAAAAACATGTTTTTATTTCTGCATATGTAATATGGGACTCAGATGCAATAAGTGCAGAATCCCTACGACAAAAGTAGAGTCACTTTTTGAAGTCGAATGGCAACTAAGATCTTTTTGAAGGTGTATCTTTAAGTCAATTAAGTAGGATTGACAACAAATATTTCTTTTTCAAATTAACCTTTTCTATTAGAGAAATCTTGGTGTTTAAAATTTAAAAAGAATTGGCACAGTCTCCCCATCAAATTATTATAACCCAGTAAAATACCTTTGACCATTGCTGTACTGTGTGATAAGAATACATTACACTGATCCCAGTCCTTCCCAGGAAATCTTTGTCTGCTTCATTATATTGTGGATTTTTGATAACTGGGGGGGGGGAAAAAAAAAGATTGATGACTGCTATTTTCCAAATCCTGGCATAGGGCTTTTTTTTTTTTAAATGTAAGCTAAAGAAAATATATGTTCTGAAAAAAACTATTTCTCAAGTATAAAAGATACATTTTTTGAACACATGGCACTGGGCACAAGTATTTCTTGTTATGTCTTAATACAAAAGTTAAGGTAATTAATCCATTAACATTTTAATTCAAAGTACATTGTTTTATTCCTTCACCCATGACAGTAAGATGCCTGAATAAGCAATGACAATACAGAACAAGTTTTTGTTTTTAAAATGAATTTTGTGACTCTAAAAGCTTACCGAAATGGCCTTACTGGGGAAAGAAGTCCAGCCACAGAACTGGTATAGAATGGGTGTTAGTATGGCAGACTTCTCCATACTATGCTACCAATCTGCCTCAACTTCATTATGGAAATAAGCCTGTAGGGCAGAAAAGGCAGTCCAGGCTCCAAGCATAACCAAGATTTGCTCTGTGCCAAGGCTCCTAACTGTAATAGTGATTTTGTGATATGAAACTGTGAATTTGGACTAAGACCACAATCATATAATTGACTTTGGTTAGTAACAGTCCAGGCTAGATTTGAACCAATAACTGAGAAAGACAACTATTTCACTGTCAACATCCTGAGCGATCCAGTTTTCCAGAATGAAAGTTCCGATAGGAACAGTGCTATGAACAGGTAAGAGAACAGGTGAAGAGGACTAAGGTACTGAACTGGAAGATATTTTTTAATACATAACTCTTACGAAGACCTTTAGCCCTTAAAGGATTAAACAATTCTGGAAATCCAAATATGAAGTTAAACTAATTGCCATGTAATCTTGTTAAACAATTGTGTGTACAGGCACAAACAAATACATCTAGTAGAATTTTCAGTTTTAAAAGGAAGGTCTTTTTCAAATAACCCAGAATATTTAAATTACCATTACTGAATCCCTTGTGGTCAGGAATCAAATTTTTGACTTAATTTATCATCCACAAAGACAATATGGGGAACTGTTACCATGAAAAAATAATTTAGTTGAGTAAAAAACATTTTTTCAGCTTAGTGAATTTTGAGATGAACTAATTTTTTTTTTTAAAATGAGACATGTTTAAGTTTCCAAACCAATACAAGAATGTTTGTGTAAACAACTTATGAATAAATATTTTAAGGATTTTTGCAAGGTTTTTACTTGCAAAGATCTGAGGTCAGAAATGTGTGCTTTAACTTGCTGCTGTTGATGACAAGCAAAAATAAAGGTTACACACCTGTAAAAGGAGTTCTTCAAGATGGACTCTGCATCTTCATACTCCTGGGATACTCCAACCAGTGCAGCCTGAACAGTAAAGCTCTAGCTAGCAGTAGCTGTTGGATCGCTCATGCACTTCCATCGCCTCCTCCCCTCAATGAATGAATGTTTCAGGGTGAAGGTATAAAGGGGTGTGGCACTCCAGCCACCTCAGTTTCTTCCTCTATGACAGGACTCTGAGGTAGTGGAGAAAATCCCATGACTGTGAATACACAGAGTCCATTTTGTAGAACACTGGTTACAGGTAAGCAACCTTCATTTCTCTTTTGAATGTCCTTTGCATATTCCCACTCATGGGATAAATTAAAAAGCAGTACTCTGATCCAGGATGGTGGGACCACAGAATTCTACTTGAACAAGGACCACAGAACTGCCTTGCCAAATTTTGCATCAGATCTAGATTCCAAATCTAACAAGTGGTGTTTAGTAAAAATGTGTACTGAACTCCATGTTGCTGCTCTATATAACTCTATTAGAGGAATGTATCTAGAAAAAGCCATAGAAGCTGCCTTCAATCTAGTACAATTTAATTCCCTGTGGAAGAGACAAACCTATCAATCTATAAGTTTCATAAATACATAATTAACCATCTTGAGAGTGTTTCTTTTTCTAACAACTTTACCCTTATAGTTTATTGCTTACAAAAAAAGGAATTTTAAAGATTGTCTAAATTGTTTATTTCTGTCTAAATAAAAGGCTGAAGTCCTTTTAATATCTAGTATATGTAATTTAGCTTCCCCATCCTGAGCATGAGGCTTGGGAAAGAATACAGGTAAAATTATAGACTGATTTATATGAAAATCCAAAGCTATCTTTAGTAAAAACCTTGGGTGTGTATGTAAAATTATCTTTATGAAAAACAATAAATGGTGGATTAGCCAGTAAGGCATTTAATTCATTTATATGTTTTGCTGAAGTGATAGCTATAAAAAACCCACTATCTTAATAGACAGGTGGAACAATGTACAGTTTTCCCAAATGTTCAAAGGGAGATTTCATCAGTTGTGAAAGCACTGTGTTCAAATCCCAAGATGGCATAGGGTGTCTTATTAAAGGATATACATTTAGTAAGACCTTCCAAGAATCTTATAGCTCTTTCATGAGTAAAAAGGATTTATTTTCCATAGCTTTATGGTATGCTGATATGGCTGAAAGGTCAATCTTCATGGAAGATAGTGAGAAACCCACTCTATAATACATATTCTAATATATAATTAATGGATGCTGTATATAGCTCTATATCATACATGGAAATCCAAAGTAAAAATCTTTTCCATTTATGACTATAAAACATTTTCATGTGGACTCTTTTCTTGAATTTATCAATACATTTTACACCTTTAACGAATTAGACTTTTCTATCAATCCCAGAGTTTTATTCCCCGGGCCATTAGACAGAGATACTGAAGATCTGGGAGATAACACAACAAGAAGGGATGGTCTAACAAAACTGGCACAACGGCAGAAGTTCAATTAACCCTCTGGACAGGCAAATTAAGTCCAGGTATCACAGTTGTCTGGCCCATGCTGGTGCTATTAAAATTACTCTAGCTTTGTCTTATTTTGTTTATTACTCTTTAAATGAAGAAAAATGAGGAAACATAACTTAATCCTTGACCCCAATTTATTAGGAATGCATCCAACACGGAGTCCCTGCTCTCAAACAAAATCCGATGCAAAAAAATCTATTATAGGATTCCCCCACAACCTGAAAAGGTGTATTACTACTTTGTCCTTCCAAAGACCATTCTTGTATTTGAGCAGTCAACCTACTTAGATGACCTGTAAGGATATTTTGTTCCCCAGATACATGAATTGCTGTTGGGTGAATGTCTTGTTATATATTGTAGGGAATGAGCCCTGCCTTGTTTGTATTCAGAATGCATGCATGGCTGTAATCAGTGGGTCTTTCTCCAGAGATTAAGATGAGAATCAAGGATCTTCCTTTTATGGGAGAGTAGGGTCTGAATACAATAACCAAAACTATTACCCTAGCTGATGCAACCAAAGAATCAAATGCAGCCCTTAACTGATGTTTAGCAACATTCTGCCCTGCCATCAAAAGGGCATTTGCTAACCTTCTATGCTCTTCCAGTGGAGAACTGAGGAATGACGACTTTCCCCCCCCAGAGATGATGCTGGTAACCAGCCATGAGAGATCTTCATAATTTTAAATATGCACACTTAACATAGCTGAAGGAAACATTTTCCTCACAAATATATTGAGTCTTTCCCCTTCTTTATCAGGAGTACAGTGAACTTGGACAACTTTCCATCTATGTAGCACAGCCTCCATCATTAACGAAGTAGGAGATGGCAGAGCATAAAGGTATAAACATAGCAAGACCTTCCTGAGGGAATTGGTATAATTTGGCAGTCTTTTTCGACATAGGCAGCTGAGGGAGCATTCCAGCTTGTTTTTGCTGGTTGAAGCCATCATTCTAATAAGGGGAATGTTACCCTCAAAATATCAAAAAACAGGTGAGAATTCCTCGATACCAAAGGACTATCTAACGTCTTTGTCATGCAATCCATAATTCATGAAATGACACCACATCCTCTGATGGTGGTGCTGCTGAAGTGTTGCCCACATTTTCCCCTAGAGAAGGCAACCCCTCCAAAGTCTGGATCTGACTCTTGTATCGCTACTAATTCCTCCTTTTCTAATAATAACTCTCTTACCATTGTAGACTTATCAGAACTTAGATGCATTGGTGGATATGTATCCTTCAGATCTGACAATATCCTCTCAGTACCAAACTGGCAAATGTCTATTGTCATATAGAGAAACATGCTGATAAGGTGCAGGAGATAGCCAATGATACCTGAAAGGTGTACTTGCCAGTCAGGCCAAAACTCCATACTCAGATCAATTGGACATTTCTTTGTCCATATGGATCTAGAACACATAAATGAGGTTGTTGAGAATACTTTTTCTCCAGATCAGATCACTGAGCTGTATTTCTTCTCCAATCCAAGCCCATTCTCAGTTCAGATGGAACCAGAGACTGCAATCTCCTTGGTTGAATAAAGGAGAATAGAGAAAAAAATCTTTTCTGGAGACCCAGAAGGGGTCTTAGAAGGCAGAAGCAGAAGAGATCCTGAGTTCTTCAACTCTTCCTCTCTGCCTTGGGGGAGAATCTAATTGAATCGGTTGCAGCAAAATGTCCAATTCTTGCTCAACTGAAATACATGGGTTAATTACCAATAGAGCTGAGCCAGATCCAGATGATGAAATTGTGCCATAACAACTATTTGTTGCAGTGCTGTGTCAATACTGTCTACCACTTCCATATATTTTTTCCTGCCTCAACGGATCCTTACCTCATGCTTTCGGAACTGGCTCATCTAGATCAGATGAAGAACGTCTGACTATCACAAGAATATGTATATTGCATACGTTCCTTGAAGACCCTCTGGTCAGATGTCTCTCTCTCGCATGGACTGGCTCTTCAAAAGAGGCTGACTCCAACGAGGATTGAGCACTCATGCTCTCCATAATAGCTGTGTCCCTTTGCAGTGGGCTGGCTCTGGAAACAAGGTGGAGGATTTGTACCAAGGTGGAGGATCTGTCCTTCTTCCTTACAGACTTGCTCGGCGCTGGTCTTTGTTTGAAGCTTGCTTGGTGCCGTATCGTTTTGCTGACCGTGCTTCTTGTAATAAAGTCACCTGA